GAAGGATGGTGGAGAAGGCAGCTTCCAGGGTGAGAAGGAAGGTGGAGGAGGCAGCTTCCAGGGTGAGAAGGACGGTGGAGAAGACAGCTTCCAGGTGAGAAGGACGGTGGAGAAGACAGCTTCCAGGGTGAGAAGGACGGTGGAGAAGGCAGCTTCCAGGGTGAGAAGGAAGGTGTAGAAGGCAGCTTCCAGGGTGAGAAGGACGATGGAGGAGGCAGCTTCCAGGGTGAGAAGGAAGGTGGAGGAGGCAGCTTCCAGGGTGAGAAGGACGGTGGAGAAGACAGCTTCCAGGTGAGAAGGACGGTGGAGAAGACAGCTTCCAGGGTGAGAAGGACGGTGGAGGAGGCAGCTTCCAGGGTGAGAAGGATGGTGGAGGAGGCAGCTTCCAGGGTGAGAAGGAAGGTGGAGAAGACAGCTTCCAGGTGAGAAGGAAGGTGGAGAAGGCAGCTTCCAGGTGAGAAGGATAGTGGAGAAGGCAGCTTCCAAGGTGAGAAGGACGGTGGAGGAGGCAGCTTCCAGGGTGAGAAGGATGGTGGAGGAGGCAGCTTGTAGGGTAAGAAGGATGGTAGAGAAGGCAGCTTCCAGGGTGAGATGGCTGCTGGGAAATTGTGGAGAAGGGAGGTCTGGAGATTTATTAGCAGGGCACAAATGAAGTATGTCCCAAAAAGTTGGGACTCTAGATTTCAGATTTTCTCTCAAATGATCCATCCTTTTGGATGCTTGGGACTAGTGCAGGAATACAATAGCATATACTACCAGTATATTTTACAGTATAAAATATTCAAGTTTTAAAAGGGATATATAGTTAATGTAAGAATTTGATGTGGTATATTTGTAAAAATAATAATAATAAACTCCACATCAGATAAGAATACTTGAATAATTTTTCCCTTTGCAATTAGGTTTACAGTAGGTTTGTATGTGTACTGCATTTTTAAAATTTATAGATGCATTCTTTTGACATGTTGATGAGGTTTGCTGGTTCATTTTTAACGTCTTTTTGTGCTTAATTGTGGTGACCAGAAACATTCACATTCTTAGGAATGTAATTCAGCCATCTGGCACGGCATATTGGCGCTTCCCAGCATCAAATAACTTTTATAATTTAGTCCATTTGTGTAGAAATTGCTAGAAATTAGCATTCTGCCAATATTATCCACATTAATGTAACAGGACAATGTGACTGTCATTTTTACCATCATGATATGGATCAGGCCCTCCGAATTCTCAAAACTCAACTTATTCTTCAGTTTATTTCAATGTTCTAGTAACCATGTCAAATTATTCTTATTATAATAACTAAAAAGAAAGTCTGTTAGAAGTATTCATTATAATACCAGAAACTTTGACCCATTCAATTTGGGCTCTTTATTAAACCTCCAAAAGTCGTATATCCCCAGCAAACCATTTGTTTAGAAACAAATGAGGAAACACTAAAAATTTATAGGGGATAAAGTGTTGTGTACAGTTTTATCTACTGTTTTCAAAAGTATGTATTATCATTAATCATTATGGTCTTTCAGTATAGACATAGGGTTGCCATTTGTTATGTAGACTTCTTTTAAAAAGTTCTGACTCTTTATAAATAAAAATTATATTTTGTCTCTGAATCCACCATTTAGATTGTTCATGCCCAAGAGTTGAGGGCTTTGATTTAAGAAGTATTTTTAAGTTTAAAATTTTCCATTTTAAAAATGTAAATGTAATCTTTTTTAACCATTTGGTCACAGATTTTGGAGGATAAATGCATAATTGTCAAAGATGTGAAATTTTAATTTTTAAAAAAGCCCTCATAATTAGTTTGTTTTTAGAATATGTAAAAAGAATAACCACCATTAGCCATGTAGTAGTAGGAATTTTTCCTTATTGAAAAATATGCTAACAATAACATGTTAATCTTAGTTATCCTAGTTCATATATTTAATATATTCAATAGATATGTATTGAGAATCAACTATATGCAAAGTACTGTGCCTAGTTCATTGGAGGATAAAATGATGTACAAGATATTTTCTCTGCCCCCCAAATAGCTTACAGCCTTGTATATCAAACACCTACTCAAATAACAATACAGTGCAGTGATAAACACCATCTAACGGCTACAAGTTAAAGTATAGAGGAAAGAAAGAATCACATGGGAAGGCATTATGATCAGAGAAGGCTTCATAGAAGAGATGATCCTGGAGCTGGGCCTTGAGAAATGGGCAGGATTTTGGTAGTCAAAGATCAGAGAGGACTTCTGGGCAAAGAGAATGATGTGAGCACAGGCACGGAAGCATAGAAGCCCAGTGGGTATTGGAGGGAGGTGGTTTAGGGGTTTATGTAGGGGAGTAATGGGAGGTAAAGTTGGAAAGGTAGGAGGCAGCTAGAGGGAAGGCCTTGAATGAATGCCTGGCTAAGGAATTTGCAAATGACTTGATAAGGTGGTGTGGTGACATGATTAAAAAAATAATAATGCTTTATAAATATTCATATGATAACAGTACGCAGGCCTGGAAAAAGAATAAAGTCAGGGAGACCAGTTAGGAAACTACTCTTGCAGTCCAGTAGTTGATAATGTTGTTGTCATTTGTTCTTTGTTCTCAAAGAGAACCATGATATCAGGAAGGTGACGCCATGACTTACAAGTGAATTGGATTTAAGTGAGCGAGGGCTGTGCAAAGTCTCCAGCCTTACTCTCTCCTCAGGAGCCATCTGGGTCCAGTGGTGAGATATAGATGAGCACAACTGGAAATGGCCCCACATCAAGCAGAAAGATGTACATTTAATGAATGTTAGACTTAAGGCAGAGGGAGTCTACTTTTTAAAAGGGGGGGGGGCAAATATTAGTGCTTCAGCTCTGTCTTTTAATGAAAATGCTCTTCCTTACAGACTTCCACCACTGAGGAAGCTGAACCGCCCCCTCAAAAGGAAGAAACTGATTGTGGACAAGAAGAAAGTGGGAGCACAGAACGTGACTCATCAGGTTTGTTCCATGGAAATGCAGTTTTGGGGTCATTCACGTGGGGCTTTTAAATCATAGTCTTTTTCTGTGAAAGGCTAGTCAGGCAGACCACAGGCTCTTGAAGGACCTAGAGAGCTTAGGTACAGGTCCAGTAATAGGAAGCTGAGAGCCATCCAGGTTAATTACAGCAACTCATGGGGAAAGGAACCATCCCTATCCTTTACCTCCCATTATGGTTTGCCCAGGGTTCAGCTTTGAGGGACGCCTGACTTCTTAGTAGAGGAAGTGGGCTCCTGAAATTCTTACATTCATTAACTATTCACTCATATAAGGGCTTCCCAAGGAACATGGGTAGTTACAGTAATGTTACCTTTTGCTCCAAACTTGAATCAAGAGAGGGGGTGGAGGAGTTGGGAGGAGGAAAAAAAAACAAACAAACCAGGTTTGCAGTGTACCAATAAGGGTCAGATATGGAATAGGTTTATTCCCACTCATAAAAGGGAATGAAAGCAGAAGAGAATTACATCATGTGTTGCAGAATGATTAAAAGAGAATCGAATAACTTAACACTTCTAGTATAATCAGTTGGGATGCTAATATTCAAGCTTCATCAAAACATGTATGTTTTGGGGAAGGTAACTAATTAGCTATTTTACATTTCATGACCACTGAGTACAGTCCTATCAGAAGCTAAGCTTTCTTTCAAGGGACCCTCTCTCTAATCAGGTTAGTGAAACCACTGACCTTTCAAAGCATTGAGTCCCTCCCTTCCTTCCTTACTTTTTTCTTTCCTTCCTTGTTTCCTTTTTTTGTTCCTTCCCTGGGGAAGAGTCCAGACTATCTATTTTGTGTAGGCAGCTTCTGGTTGATGAAAATCCCTCTACCAATATAGGTCCGCCCATGCTCTGCAACTTAGTTAACAGTCTTAGTTACTTGGGAGCATTAAAGGGTTAAGGTGACATGCTCAAGGTCACACAGCCAGTGTATATCAGAAGGGAGACTTGGAATTTTGTCTTCCTGATCCCAAAGTCATCTCTCTATCCACTCTATCATGTTATCTCTTGTTTCCTCTCCAGTGGATCTGCAAACGTGGATAGAATGAGCACGTAGTGTCCTTTCCCAGTGATAGGATTATACTGACATCTAGAGGTCTTATTAGAAAATTTCTTTATCTTGAAATAGTGTCCCAACTTATTTACCACCATAGATATGCCTCAAATCTTCATACTAAACTACCAATCATAACCTAATTCATTTTCCTCATGGGAGCAATGTTGTAATTGGAGGCTTAATTCCTGACCAAGGACTCCATACCAAACGAATCTTTGGCCAGACATGTTTTATAAGCAAAGAGAAAAACTATAAATCTCTATGACCATTTAAGTAGTAAAATTATGTTCTAAGTCCTATAAAATGGATGTTAAATATACACCATATCCATTGATTATACAAGGAGATTTAGATGGATAATATGGATGGTGCATGCCTCTTAAAAGCTGTCCAAGGATATTTGGATTGAGGCCTTCTTTTTCTGTAGACAGATCATTCTATAACAAGCAGAGGCATACTGCAGCGATTGCCTAGACAGGTATGGTGTAGAACCCTTAACTTGGGAGTCAGAAGATCTGGGCTTGAGGCCTGCTCTCTGATATTTACTATCCCCAGAGGGATATAGGCGAGCCATTTAATCTCTCTGAGACTCAGTTTCTTTATCAGCAAAATGGAAATAATACTTTTCCTGGCTTCTTCCCAAAGCCCTAGATAAATGTAAATTATTAGAATCACTCTAGTATATCATCTCATTTGACTTTCACGTAAATTATAATTTTTATTTTTGTTTTTTTTCCACTTGTATTTTCACGGACGGCATTGACACATAAACTAGAGATTTTATTGGGAGTGTTGTGTTTTAGATTAAGTAACTCCAAATTAGCTATTCTGTGTCTTATTCCTTTCACCATCTCTGATCTGATTTCTTGTTCAGTACTTAAGCCATGATGAAGGATAAACATACTTTGGATTATTGTATTGTGAATGATTCGTTTGATGTTTTATTAATTTTTTAAAATCTTGTATACTTTTTTCTTTTGAAAAATTGTGTCCATTCTTCTGTGTATGTGTTCATTTCAGAGTGTCAGTACTTTACGACTACTGTGACCCGAGCCAGCCCAACTGTGGCCTTTGTGGAGCTCAATCCCAGCCACCAGCCTAAGGACCCCGAAGCAGAAGACAAAGACCAGAGGAAACTGGAGAGTGAAATGAGTGGCAAGGTGGAGCTGGTGCTGTCGCAGAAGGTGAAGGAATTGAGAGAGCAGACAAATGGCAGTGCACAAGTTCACATACTTTTACTTTGCAGATGTTTTGTTTTTTGAATGCAGCAGGTTGTACAGTTGTCTCCAATCCTCCTCACACTTCTCAGTGACCAGAGGCAATGACTCGTCTTTCAGCTTTCTGTATCAAAATGCTCAAAAATGTCCATTTGAGGCCAGTGGGTCAGTTGCACACTCCATTTTTCTTTGGAAATTTTGGAAAGATTGCTCACGTTCTTAAGTTAATTGCTCATTCAGGTTGACTTCTAAACAGAGTTTACAGGCCTTTGCTAATTGTGTTACCTGCGTATTATATGTTATCATGGTGATTGTCTTTTTAAAATAACATCTGATCAAGAATGGGTCTGGAAGTAAACTGAGAAATTTGCCAATTGTGACTCCGATTCTTTCTATTCGGTGAAGGAATTTTGGACTAAAACAAAGAGAGCAGGTAGTAGGCTGTCAGTGAAAAGCCCTTGATTATTGTGTGAAGATTTCCAGCTACTTAGGTATTAATTTGGCAGTGATGTGAAGAAGGAATTGGAAGGTATGAGGCAGCAATATTGGAAGGAGGGAAACTGGTTAGGCCAATCATCAAACATTTGTTAGGTGCCTGCTATATGTAGGGTGCTGTGCTAGAGATACAAAAATATAATTGAAAAGGCCCCTGTCTAGCCAGGGAAGATAGCTTGTGCTTAGAGGTATGCACAAAATAAATAACAGATGACTTGGAGATAAAGACCCTAGTAGCTGAGGGAGAAAGGCTTCATGTAGAAGATGGTGCTTGAGCTGATTTTTGAAAGAAAAAAAGGAGGTGATTGTAGTAACCTAAGTAGGAGGAAATGGAGTAGGGTGATGGCTCTGGAAGTGCTAATGAAGGAGCAGATTTGAGAGAGATTATGCTTGATTTCTGATTGCATATGGCCGGAGTCCAAACACTGGCTCCTTGCTCTTGTGGTGGAAAAGACCTCGGACATTAACGAGTCCGACCTTCTCATTTTACACATCAGGAAACTGGAGCCTTGGGACATTAAATCACTTGCCCAAATCACATAAATACTTAGAGTCAGGGTTTGAACCTAGGTTCTCTTACCCCAGAGCCTGTGCTCCTTCCACACTGCCAGGCTACTTTGGTTTCAGTTGTGAATGATGGAAAGAATGGGACTGTCATTGACAAAAATAAAGTTAGGAGCTGTGAGTTAGAGGGGCATGGCCTGTATTCCTAGGCCACCTCCAGGGCACAGAGTAGTGACTTGCATACAACAAAAGTGCAGCAAATATCTATTAATGATCACTTTGTGTGCTTCCCCTGTGAAAGTTATTCCTTGTCCACAAATGGAGTGATACCTGTTTGCAGATAGGAAGAAATCCCATTTCTTTGTTGCAGAGACCCATCGAGGAAACTGTCCTGATGTTCAGCCTCTTTTTAATGAACTCATGTATGAAAAGTACTTTGAACCAGCTAGGGAAAAACAGGACAGTCAGCCTCTCCTCAGCCCCCATTAGTAATCATTCTTTGCCTGAATTACATGCAGCAGTTAGGACTCCGTCATTGGAAGGAGAAAAGAGATTTGTATTTGCAGTCACCATCACTTTCTCAGTTTCTTTGAAGACCTTTATTTTGTAAAACAAAATCAAAACCCTGCCAACACACATATGATAAAAAGCATCTGATGAAAAGCAAGAGGTTTTATCTGAGTTTTACACAGCCCATTGATTCGTTGCTGTGGGTTGGGCAGCAGCTCCATCGTGTTCACCCTCACTTGTCTTTTGTCAGCCACTGCTTGTAAGAAAACAGTTTAAAGTTAAAATTTATGGGGTACCAACTCCTGGGTGATTGTAGGCATTACAACATTTTTAAATTAAAGTTAACTTTTAGGTACTACCTTGACCTATATGGTACAGTTTATTCAGTTCCTCATTTGGGTCGAATTTATAATCCATGAGAAAATAGAATTTTATCAGGAAGTACCCTTAACATTAAACTTTTATAATTATAGACAAATTACTTGTGCTGTAAATCCAGAAACACCTTACATGCAGAAATCTCCCTGGAAGATAAACTTCGCTACCTAGCCTCCAAGATGCAATCCAAGTATCCAAAAAAGGCAGCACAAATTCCATGCACTGAAGCTCATTCATTTAAGAGCCACAAATTAAAAGAGAAAGGGGTACTGGAGCGGGGTTCACCAATCATAGTGAAAGGTGATAGCTGACAAACTGGTCATGAAACAAGAAACACAATGAAGGCTGTAGAAGAAGAAGGTATAGGAACTCAGAGTCTGGGACTATTTGCTAGCACTCAGGACAAATATCCCGAGATGCTCTGTTGACCAGTATAGGTCAGTGCAAGAATCCATCACCATGACTTGTTCAGCAAGCAAAAATTAAATTAGTGGTCAGTGTTCTCTTTTGAGATGGCAGGTTGTGTGTATGCATATACGTGAATGAAGACTGAGGAATTTAGTCTAGAGAGATGTCAATGAAGATCGTTGTTTGTTAGGTTATTTTCTGTGCAAACACTTATTATAGAGGCAGCTTAGGGAGCGAAGTCAGTGTTGAGTTCTGGACTTGGAGTCAGGAAGACCTGAGTTCAAAGCCTAACAACTATCTTTGTGACCCTGAGAGCAAGTCACTTAATTTCTCTTAGCCTGATATAGTTCATGATTAAAACTATAAGCATAAAAAAAAAAGACTAGGAATAGGCATGTGTAAATATTTAAGAAAATTTTTTTTCTTAAATCAAAAATTTCTTTTAAAGAACTTTTTAATATATATAACTCTGGCTTTGGGAAAACTTGATTATGTACTCATTCCTTTAAAACACTAAATGAATAAGCATTGCCTTTGTAAAAGGAGAAGAATAAGCTCATGTCAATCATGAGAACTCGAGAAAACAGTGCTTAGTACCCACTCATCTATGTAACTGAGTTAGAATTTTGACTCCTTAGGGTTACAGGAAGTACATGATAATCATGGCCCTTCTACTACCTGGAGTTTGGTTTTCTGGGAGAAAAGGTAGTTAATGCCAGTTGGGGTGATTGGGGGAGTTGCCTAATTTTAAAATCTCCAATGATGATCATTTAAATGCAGAAACTCAGAAAGGATCAGTAAGGTCACATGTTGTGGCTCCTCACATTTCTGTAATAGAGGAATGCTGTCTGCTCTGTCCTTGGATTTCCTTTCTGCCTGAGGGTTTAGTACTCACGACGACCTCAATAGTCATGTCTGCTACTTATTTACACAGGCAACGAAGCCAAAGTCTCCAGAACCAAAAGCAATTCTGTTGTCTCCGTACCTGAACCAAGTACCAGAAACCAACCAATCAACTTTGCCAAATCTTGATTCACAAGGTAAAGAAAAAGAAAATGTTTCATATGAATTTCACCTACTTTTATTCGGGACTGTGATGAAAGGTTCATTTCTGCAAGAAAAGATAAGGCATTCCTATATATGGCGGAACCATCAGCCCTGGTCATTTCTCAGAGACTCTGCGGATTATATGACTGGAGAATGGGGACCTGTAGCCTGCAAATAATCAAGTCTGTGACCGAAGCTGCCTTCAGGGGGAGGGTGGACTGCTAAATTTGACTTTAGGATGGAGGCTGTGACTTCATTGTATCCCTGCCTTGTTACTCGGGGCTCCACATCTGTAGTAGAGGAGGTCAATCACGAGGTCCACATGCAGCCCACAGCACCCCCAACTGTGGCCTAAACCAGATCAAGATATAATTGGGAAATAGTTGGGATTTAACAAAATAAATGAAATGCAATATAATATAGATATTAATAAGGAATTTTTTAAGTCCATATGTGGCCTGCGGGGTTTTGTATGGTATAATGGCTCCCATTTCTGTTGGAGCTTGACACCACTGCTGTAGGGGACCCAATTGCATATCCAGTAGAGCTGCTACAACCCTGACACTGCCTTCGCCTTCCTCAGCCAAGGACCCTAGCAGCCTTCAGAGGGAGACCCTCTTTCTCAAGACCTTAATAAGTAATATACAGTATGTGAGCTTCGTTGGCCTTAATTGGCTCCATTGCTGAAGGAGAAGCAGATAGAAGGGAGGCGAGTTAAAGTATAGTTTTTTAGCATTTTGGGGAGGTAGGATCTGGAGCTGGATACAAGGGTGCAGGCCAGAGATGACTGGTTATTTGTTTCCATTTCTCTTTTCATTGAAAAAAGTACCCATTTCTGACTTACTCTTAGCAATGAAGAACCATTGTTTTGATATGGCATTAGAATTGACTGTCATAGTTTATGTTGCCTTCTGGGAAATGACTTAGACCCGGTCTTCACAACAGCAAACATCTGTTTTAGGAGAGAAATAACCAGTGCACATATTTGTGGGCATCAATTCCTTAATGTGAAAACTGTGTCCATTCTGTCATTAAAGTGTCCATTTCAGACCAGTGCATTTAAGGGATTAAAGGCTGATAATTGCCTATCAGTGAATCCCATTGAGTGTGCTTCCAATCCATTTGTTCCCTGTATCCCCAGCACCTACTTCAATCCCTTAAACATAGTAGACACTCAATAAATTCCTGTTGGATTGGATTTGGTACCAGTGGACAGAAATGGATATTATATGCAGAACATGTTTACCTTATATAAACAAATCTTCAGTTACATGTTTAAAAGGAATTTTATGCTAGAGAATGTGCTGCTAAACCAAAGGAATTTACCTCACTCATTATAAATTACCCAAATTGTAGCATTTCTAAAAAACCAGTTAAGTAGCATTGGTATATAGATGAGTTTTAATGGTCCTCTCCACCTCTAAATCCTAGGAGTTTAAACACATTTTCTTCAAGACATTTATGCTTCTGCATTTCCTCTATGCCCCTGTGATTAAATGTATCTATTGAAGAGATATATTATTGTTTAATTCTCTCTTCATACATACTTGTGGAGTGACTGTAAGTGTTAGACAATTAAAAGCATACATTAAGGGCATTGCTGATAGAAAAATAAATTATAGTGATGCTTTTAGTTTATCCATTGTATTTTTCTGAGAAACACAGAGCCTTGGATACATACGACTTTGTGTTTTGTGTCCGTCCCCACCTTTTTATAAAGTGAGAGTCTCCAGGTTTCTGGCAATTGATGTTAAGTAGTATCTTTTCTTATAAATTATATAAACTGAAACATGTTTAGGTGACTTTTCATATCAAAAGTAGATGCAAGATTAAAACTAGGTCTCCTGGCTCTCAGTCTGTTGTTCTGTCCATTGGTAAATCAGTCAGCAAACAATTATTTAGTGCCACTATGTGCCAGGAACTGTGCTAAGCACTGATGATACACATAAGAAAAAAAAGAGCGAAAGAAAGAAAGAAAGAACCAGCCCTATACAAGAGGAGCTTACAATCTAATGAGGGAAGACAACAACAAAAGAAAGCTGGGGAGGGGAAGCTTTGGGGACTTGAGAGTCATGGCTCCACCACCCGGTCAGAGGGATTGTGGGGAATGAGGTGGAGTAGCAAGGCTATTGGGATCTAACAGGACAATGAAGTTCTCCCAATAACGAGCTTCCTGGGACGCCATGGAAAACTCAAGAGAAGTCCCAAAGTCATACAGCCAGGTGAGAAATGAGAAATCAGACTTCAGTGTTGCCTGATTCTTCATAAGGCCGTATTTCTAAGTTAATGAAGCTGCCATTCTAGTATCTTTTACTAGTACTTCAGTGAAACTGTGATTTCATCTGTGTGGGGACTATCTCCCCCAATACAGGTCTCTTAAGTTTTCCTTCAAATCTAAAATTGATTCTGATTTTAGCATACACTGACCTGTCTACAAAAGATGGCAATTCCAGTCTTTTTCTAAAACATAACCCAAAAATGTCTGATTGGGGGATGGGGGGAAGGACATGGTCTTTAAATACTGAAGTCATTAGAAAAAAGCATTGAAAATTTAGCAGTATAAAGTTTCTTTCACCAACTGTTTCAGGAAAGAAAAATGGTATCTCAATGGAAGGGTATTCCAATAAAATGTATTCATACCTTAGTAATTATATACTTGTAATGAAAATTATGAATATTATTTGAGGGAATAATCATTTCTATAATGCCTACTTTAGGCCAGGCACTGTGCTAAACGCTTTTATAAATATTATCTCATTCAATCCTCACAACAACCCTTGGACGTGGGTGCCATTATTATGCCCATTTTACAGTTGAGGAAACTGAGACAAACAGAAATTAAGTGACTTGCCTGGGGTCACACAGCTAGTAAGTGTCTGAAGCCTGATTTGAATTCAGGACTTCCTGATTCTAGGCCCAGCTTCTATCTACTGAAGAGGTGTCAAAACGGTGGGTTTACAAAACTCTTAAGATTAAAATGTAATTGGGAAATGTTTAACAAAATAATAAATTCAGTACTACATAGATAGTGTTAATTTGTGAAATTTTGTTCCTGGGAGTTCCCTTCCCCAATAAAATCACAGATCTAGATTAAAAAATCCATACTATATTGGTAAATATTACTTAAGAGGCAGCATATGACATAGTGGTTAGAGTGCTGGGCTTAGAGTCAGAAGACAGAGTCACAGAATTTGACTTTGGAACCAACCTGTAAGGCCATCTAATCCAATCTACAGTCAAAAGGAATCCTCAACAAAACGCATCCAGTAAGTGGTCATGCAACCTCTGCTGGGAGGTCTCTAAGGAGGAGGAACCCATCCAGTTGTGGACAGTTCTAATCTTGGTAATTTCATGGTCCAAAAAGAGCAAAAGTAATTCTTCCTCCACATGACAGCCTTTCATGCACTTGAAGACAATTATCATGGCCTCCTGGGTTCAAATCTCACTTCTGACACGTTATCTGGGCAGCTCTGGACAAGTCATTTTAACCCCTTGGTACAGGCACCTCTCAGACCAAGTTGAACAATTACCAGTCTGCTTTGGTGGAGAGTACCCACTACACTCACTGATCTGTACCATTAAAAGGGGGGCATTAGCATTCAAATTGTCTGCATGTTTTGTTGAAATACATTCTTTTTTCAAATTCTCTGGACCTCAGCCCATGTGTCACCTGTGACCAGGACCCCACACATACACACCCTTTCCCCCATCTCTCTCAAGGTTCAGTTTTGTTTTTTTCAAGTTGTGTAATCTGTTCTGTTCTAACATCTGATCTAGAGTCGCCTGGCACAGCCACTGTTCCGCTTAGGGTTCGGAACTCTTGGCGACGTTCACGGTTTTTCTCCCAGTCAGGTAAATGATGTGTCGGATAGTTGCGCATTTCTTCTGTCGCACTGAGTAGGCATGAATACCTGCTGGGGGGTGAATCAATGATGGCTGGTATTTGTTTCCCCTTCTGCTTTCATAGAAAAGTGCTTGTTTCTGGCACACAGTTGGCAAAGAGCTATTTCTTCAAAATGGAATCTGTATGTGACATTTCTAGAACTTAAAAAAAAATACAAAACAAACCATTGATCATTTCACCAGACCAGTTTTGTTTTGGTTTTTGAGACCCTAAACAAACACCGCATCATTTACTTACATATTTTTTCTGGTTTTGTGTTTCCTCTTCTGTTTATTTCTTTTTTAAAAAAACAGGGAGATCTGAAGTGTTTAATATCTAATGATAATGGTTCTGTTGGTAACTGTGGCACAAGGTCTTTTCTTCTACCATTTCTCTGCTTAGTATTTCCCCCTGTAGGACAGGGAGGAGAGAAGACATAAGCCAGAGTACAATGTGCATCACAGAAATTTTCTATCTTTTCAAAGTAAGGAGTAGTTGCTGCCTATAGTTTAGAAACTGGTGCTAATTTATGCAATAATGTATACATATGTTACATATCAGTCTTACCTTCTCTTGGTGTTGGGTCCACCCTATTTCTGTGGTCTACTTTATCATGATTTTCAAATGCTCTTGGCTTATGAAAAGCAGTAATTGGTGTTAAAACAGTATAGGAATCACAAGTACAGTCACCAAAAGGAAATTGGAAACAATTCATTTTATGTTTTTTTTTGTTTTTGTACAGTGGAGTCTAATAGCAGTGAGAAGTCACCTGCAAGTACACCTGTAAGTAATTGATTTTATTTTTTTAATGTGATATTTATATTCATTTAATAGGATACTTGATTTATTTAAAGGAACCTCATTTGCATATTGCCAGTCAAGAAAGAGGAAATTGGAGCAATGAATGAATGAAATAATTCAAAATTTTCAGGATACTGAAATTATTCATATTTTCAGGACACTTAATATGGCAGGTTTTTTATCATTATACAATATTGTCATTGTACCTTGAAAAAATAACTGGTGTACTTCAGTTAGTATTGATAAAATATAAAGTGAGCTATTAAAAATAAATATGAAAAGGGGGGCCAGGATCTCTCTCTCTCTCTCCCTCTCCTCTCCTCTCCTCTCCTCTCCTCTTCTCTTCTCATCTCATTGCCATAGATTTTCAGGAGTGGGGAACTTGTAGTCTCAAGGCCACATGTGGCCTTCTAGGTCCTCGGGTGCAACCTTTTGAATGGGTCCAAGTTTTACAGAACAAATTCTTTTATTATGGTGATTTGTCCTGTGAAATTTGGATTCAGTCAAGTCTGGCCACAGGTTCCCTACCCCTGGATCTTACAATACTTCCCCAAATTTTACCTTTCTACCCACTACCTCAATAAGTTCTCTTTCCTCCATGAGACTTTTCAGCTGTGGCTATGACCCATGTCCTTCTCCCACTTTAGAGATTTGTAAGAATAATGCTGTTAAAACTGAGCTGAAGCCAAGAAGCCATGGACCCAATGTGTGAGCCATTATACTTGTCCCTATGGCTCTGAGCACCTTGATACCATGACACCACAGTTTGGTTCGTGTAGAGATGTGTTCATGTGATTCAATCCCAAACTGACCACAATAGTCTGATAGGCATCTGAGAAGCTGGTTCACTCAGATATGTTTTTGCCAGCATAAAGTCTTGATCCGATCTTGTAGCTCTACCTCTAATAGACTAGAATACTTAGAAGGTTCCCAGAGCTTGTATGTGCTTCTGTACAGGCAAATTGCCCCATGGTCTTCATTCTGGTGTTTACTAAATTCAGAATCTACCAGATAGATTACTTTTGCTAGCTTGGTAGAGAAGGGACTGAAATGATGTATCTCTCTGACTTTGGGAAAGAAGTGTAACTCAAAGAGAATCTAAAGAAATATTTCAGGAAAGCGTCCGTGAGCTTGCATGTCTAACGTCCTTTTGATAAAAAATGAGGCCACCTGCTTTCTTGCCTGCCTATAAGATAATAAGCATTTAATTACAAAATAATAAACTTAGCGTCTATGGATATACTACTAGTTTTAAAGGACTTTCTAAACGATAAGCTCTGTTTCCTCCAAAATCCTACAGTGTTGTCTTTGTACCACTCATGGCATCTGTTACCTGCTAGCTTTTACCATAGTGAGCTGTATACATGTTTATTTCTCTTACTAGACTATAACCTCCTACAGGGCAAGCACCATATCATATTCATTTTTATATTAATCGTAGTGCTTAGCACAGTGCTTTGCATATGACAGCTTCATAAGCACATGTCAAATAAGTCCAAGACCAATCCTGGTGATGTCTTTATGGTTCTTTTTCATTGCTTCCTATTTGAGAAGGCTTTAATTGTGCTTCCAAAAGGACCAATCTTTTGCTGCATTCATCATCTTCTCCCTTATTCTGCACTTTACTATGAGCTCATTCTTGTTCACTGTGATTCTCTCTCTCTCTCTCTCTCTCTCTCTCTCTCTCTCTTTCTCTCTCTCTCTCCCTCTCTCCCCCTCCTCTTCCCTCCCCCTCTCTCCTTTTCTCTCCCCCCCACCCCAGTCCCAAGAACTTGACATGATTGATCTGTGCCAAAGTTCCCACACAAATTCTACATAGGTTAGCACAACTCACTCCATGATTAGCTAACAGAAATGTAATTTTCTTGCAGAATTTAGCAAAATTTTAGTTATAGTCCATGTTTTGCTAAGTGACATGTCTCTTTGTGTTACTGCATACATAAACACCAGATAAGATTGATCTGGTATATGAGAACTGACCTGGGATCTTTGTTCTGAATGCGTGTTACATCCCGTGCCCAGAAATATTAACGGATTTTTAAACGTCATTCCTATGGGGGATGAAGCAAAGGCTATCTCGTGCCAGGAGCTAATTACTCTGTGCATTCATTAACTCATAAAGGGCTCATTGAATCTAGCCAGCATCTTGGAAGAAAACCAAAGTGGGGCAAAATACAAAAGCTTTTTAACCAACCAGGAAAGGCCTTTAGAAATGTTAAAAACTTAAGCTTCAGCATTTTCACTTGGGCATTTTGACTATAGCTTAATTGTGTTCATTTGGCCCTGTCTGTTCTTGAGATATATTGTTGGATTCTGATCATGGTTTTATTTTTCTAAGCGTTTCAACTTGTGGGCATGGGATCCAGAGGAGGAGCGCCGCCGGCAGGAGAAATGGCAACTTGAACAGGAACGTTTGCTTCAGGTACAGCTGGGTTTTGCTTATTGGCTGTTTTTTATTTGTTTTTAATTCGACTTTCCATTTTCTTTCTGTTGCCTTCACTAGTTTTTATCTGGGCCTGAAAAATCATAGGATCATAGATTTTAGAGGTCATCTTAGCTCAGCCCCTTCATTTTACAAATGAGGAAACTGAGTCCCAGAGAGGTTCAGTGACTTCCTCGAAGTCACAAAGCTAGTAGGTATCTAAGGTGGAATTCAAACCAAGTTCTTCCTGACTTCCAAATCAAATTCTCTATACATTACATACCATAATGCCTCTCTGAACAAAATCTCTAAGTGTAAAATTGTAGTCTTATCAGTTGACTAGTTTGACATTTTATCTGTGACCATTCAGATGTCATTATACATCATTTCATATTTAGAGAAAACAGCTATTAGCACGAGGTGGGGAAATCCACATATTAACATTTCATGATCAAAACAGGTCATCCTACTAATGGTTGATAGAATCTCTTCTCCCTTGGTCACTAATCAAATTCCAACCAAGACAGTGATAGAAATCCGTTTCCAAACAGCTGTGTGATAACTTTGGCGAAATGAGGCTATGGTCTTTGTCCATGTTCTGGTAAAGAAATTTTCTATTTACAAAAACTCCACTATCTGTCTGTGGTCCACATTTCTTCTAATTTTTAAAAAAAAAGGAAGTTAGATGGTATTTAATAAGGAAGCCGTGGAAATTCCATACCTTTCAATCCTTGTTAGTCTCTTCCCCCAACTCCACCATAGGAAATGGACATTGAATTGCAGAAGCATTAATTACATTATGTTATTCAGAAAATAATACTTAAGGCAGTTTTAATTTACATCTTCAAAATATTCTTACTTTTAGAAAAATTAATTCCAAAACTATTGGCAAATAGTCAACTGAATCAAACAAGGCTTTAGTTCTGCTTTAAAGGATTTGAAAAGCCTGATGAGTTTGGCGTATTTTAAGTTGGGGCAAGCAGGGGGGAAATAAAACATTTTTTATGACTTAAAAAAGCAAGTGTATTTGTAGGAAAGATGCCCAGTTTTTCTTTAAAATCTGGTTCACTTGGTTCTAGTCACATGCTTTTCTGCTCATAAAATTGACGAGATGGGAAGTATGTGCCTGTCTTCTGGAATCCCCACATTTCATTTATTGGCCTTCTGCCCAGTTAAATGGTAAACATCTACACCAAAAATGCCATTGTGTATGGAAAACGACTTTTCATGTGGCTCTCATCATAGTGTTCTTTCTGTTACACTAAGAAAGATGGCTATTGTTGCAGATCCTGGTCACGCTTTGTCCCTCAGCTAATAGCTGCCTTTACATCCCTCCCTGCCTAGTTTCCTCCTGGGTGTTGGGACAGGGGCCCCTCTCAGAGTAAGAGAAATGCACATATCTCCCTAGCACACACAATAAAGCCATCCAGGTCTTCTTGCTGATCATTGGTCTTCTTGGCTAAGGAAGTGACTGGTTTATGTTGAGTCGTATCCTTAAAGGATGGATAAAAGCTCCCAAGCCCTCGGCTTGTTATACCTGCCCTCATGTTTGAAATTCTAGGGTCAGAGTCTTATAAGCAGAATCTTTACTGAAATTCTGCTAGGACTTCACTGAAAAGTCAGGATTTCAGAAATGGAATTTAGTCAGCCAATGTGGTTCTGCATTGCCTCACATTGCCCAACACTGCTTCTTCCAGAGCATTAAGAGGTATAGGAGTAAGACAAGTCTTCAGAAGAATCTAGTAACGTACTTTTCCTGCTAGGATGGAGGTGTACTAGCTTGTAGTAGGAGGCAAAAATGGTGGCTGCTCAGTATTCCAAAGGATGCTCCAGAACGATAAAAAAGGAATGACTTGTTTTTAAGTGTAATTTAAAAAAATTTTTTTTGGCTAGGCAATAGGGTTAATTGACTTGCCCAGGGTCACACAGCTAGTGAGTGTCAAATGTCTGAGGCCGAATTTGAACTCAGGTCCTCCTGACTCCAGGGCCAAAGCTCTATCTATTGTACCATCCAGCTGCCCCCGTTTAAGTGTAAGTTGATGACAATTAGTCACAATATTTGACTGGAGGTTCTACATTTCAGCATTTCTTCAGCTAAGTGGTGTAGTGGATAGAGTGCTGGGCTTGAAATCAGGAAGTCCTAAGTTCAAATGCTACCTCAGACATTTTATGAGCTATGCAGGAAACTTACTCTGGGCAAGTCCCTTAACATTTGTCTCCCTCAGTTTCCTCAACTGCAAAATGGGATGATAATACCACCTACTTCTAAGGATTATTTTGAGGATCAAATGAGATAATATTTGTAAAATGCCTAGCAAAGTGGCTACTACTATAGTAGGCACTTAATAAATGTTTGTTTCCTTCCTTCCCTCATTCTGCCTAATCACTGAAGGTTAGTTAGTTGGGGCACCAGTTTTAAACTTTAGCTATGATTTTTTCTTTTTTTGCATCAGTTTATTAATTTCTTCCAGGTCAAGACTCCTGGCTAAATATTTCAATTAATTTTGAAGACTTCCTTATACAGAATATTTATGTTCCCCTAGCTGTGGTGACTGATCGAAGTATTTCTGAAAACAAGAAGGGTAGTTCTAATCCTGATAACATTTTAATGGGTCATTTAAAAGCTTCCCTTAATTCAGAAGGTATTCAGATCTAAAGATTCCATTTTGGTAGAAAACTATAAGGACTTTAAGCAAAAAGCAATCCAGATACTTGGCTAATTATCATCTTATCCACTTTCTGTAAAACCATAAGAGACTCTTTTTTTTTTTTGATATTAAACTACCCTGGCAGCAGTTTATTTTTTTTTTTACATCAGTTCCCAAGCTTATATTTGAATATAGAGCTCATATATTGCTATAAAACCGCTACTGAAGTGTTATGAAACACATGCTTCAAACAGTTGTTTGAGGTAGGTAGTTCAAGGCAAATATTTTTACTGCCGTTTTACCGATGAGAAAACTGAGGCTCAGAAACATGAAGATACATCCCCTCGGGATGACACAGCTAGCAAGGGTTAGAGCCAAGATTTGAGCATAGGTCTTCCTCACTCCAAGTCGAACAATCTTTGCGCTGTGCTGAGTCGCCTTTTTGAACAATCCTAATTAAGGTAAACTATAGGCTTAATTTACTTTTTCATGCACAATCTCTTAAAGGTGGGTTTTAGCTGGTTTTCATTTTTCTTAGAATTTTCCGCATCCATAAGTTAGGGTCCAAACTAGCATTGCATAAATGAGTTCGTCTACGGAAAAGTCCTAGCAGATGTAGCTGATTATCTGTAGTATTTCTCTTATCTGCTTGAATAGTTTTAAATGATCACAGAAATCTCATCCTGCTTCATTGCGTGTCAGCCAGTCAACTTATAACGTTACAGCAAGAAGTAACTTTTGCAACATGTTGTACACAGAATGAGGGATTGTTCATTTGTTTGGTTTTTAATGATTCCCAGTGATGTGTGAGGTGCTCAGTTCCATCCAATTTACTGAACTATTCCATAACAGGAGAGATACCAGAAGGAACAGGACAAACTGAAAGAGGAATGGGAGAAGGCACAAAAGGAAGTAGAGGAAGAAGAGCGTAGATATTATGAGGAGGTAAGGAAAATGACTGGGAAGTGGGTTGTGAAATGAGTCTGCTGTCACAACTCAGCAAAATCTCCGTCTCCTGACTTGGTAGGTGGGTATCTGCCTACTTACTGCAGCCCTTTTGAAAAGAGTATAGAAGAGCCTTCTGGTAGTAAATTCTCCTCTCGACAACAAATCCCGTTAAGCTGATTCCTAGAATGCACTCTAAAAATGTAGACTATTTTGAGCCACGATGGGAGGCTTAAAGCCATCTATCTCTCAGTCTATGTTGTAGCCTATCCCATGTGTGAGAACATACCTATCTGACTAGGGATTGGTTTGGTTTGTACAGGTGAAATGAAGAAATCGTTTTTATAGTATTATGGTAAGCATTTGGATAACAGTAAAATAATCTGGTGGGATTGTTTTTATATCAAAATTATTTGGGTTTATGTGTCTTGCTATCTTCACTTTGTGGCTATGTGCAGGCACATGCTGCCAATACCTCGTTAAAGAGATCATAGGATACTAGATTCAAAGGTAGGAGGGTCGTTGGAGATCACTAGTTCATTCCTTTCTTTTTTCAAAAGCCTTAGCCATGATCACACAGCTGGGGTCCAACTTTGACTATTTTTAACCGTATGCCACATTGACCTTAGGTCAGGGAAAACATTGACCTTGGGCAGGGTTCAGTGCAACAATATTAGGGCAGTTAGTGCCAAAGTCAGTAAGCATTTATTAAGCACTTACTGGGTACCAGGTCCTGAGCTAAGTGCTAGGAATGCAAAGAAATGCAAAAAAAGAGCCCTTACCTTTGAGGAGCTCAGTCTAAAGAGGGTAAGGGATTGAAGATAGAATGGAAATGTTATTGAAGACTACATATGCTTAGGCTGGGAATGGTGAGAAGATGAGGTAATGGGTGCCATGGGGGGACTAAGTTAAGCAGAGCAATCCAAGTGGGGAGTACTAGGTAAGGTGGATCTGGACCAGTAAGGGTGGGGAGATAAATGAGAAAGGTAAAGAAAAAGGGCAGAAGGGGATGATGATGATGATGATGATGGTGATGGTGATGGTGATGGTGATGGTGATGGTGATGGTGATG